CTCTGAGTTCACGGTAACATCACGACCATTACCGTCTTCGAAGAAGTGAAAATGACCGTTACTTTTGGGCTGTGCAGCGGTCTTTCGTGTAACTGTTGCGGATTTTCAATAGCCCAATAACGACAATTCTACTGGTTAACCATGCTGTTTAGGTGAAAGTGGGCTTCGTCACACATAAACAAAATGAGGTTCTCATTTTGATCGATCAGAGCTTCCATCTCACGTGCGAACCCAAGAAGTGTTGAACATCAATCAGCAGCTTATCAAGAGCCTTCGAGAAATCTAGTAAAATTAAGATGCATAGATTGCTATCACCAATGTATCTGCGGATATCATCTGTTACTTTGAGTAAGGCCGTTGTACAGCTATGACCTGATCTGATCTTCTTGGGTGGAATAGGAAGTCGTGCGATGTCTCATGTTCCTTATCAGTAGGTACTTTGCAACTCTAAAGTATACATTTAAGAACTTTAATGACCGACTAGAGGCACTAAGCGCCGTATTGTCAGTCATTCCTACAATTGTACGACGCCTTTATGGCCTCCTTGATTTCCATAGTTTTCTATTGCTCCGTGTCAGCGCTCTATTTTGAGGTTATGTTACAAATATCTAGCATCAAATTGTTCATGCTTTTGATTTACCTCATCTATACTAAGTGACATATAAATCCGAACACCCAGTTTAAATGGTTTTATTTTAATAAAAGTTGGTGAATGTATTTATCTTACTGTAAATAACAAGTGAAAAAATTTTCAGCCTTATCAGTTGGACATTCCGGTTTTTATACTGCTTTTTTTTTAATTCACTAACGCTCTAAAAATGAATATTTCAGCCGCAGTAAAGAATCAACGTTGGCGGATTTTGGTTCTTGACATCCTTTACGATCGGTTACGATGCCTAGAGTACGGAGACCTGTACGATTTCGTCAACTTAGAGAGTTTGATAGGGGCCTTATAGTGGGACTTCGGGAAGCTGGACTTTCTTTTCGGGCAATTGCAGTTAGAGTGCAAATAAGTGTAGACACTGTGGTTAGGTGTTGTCAGGCATGGCTTCGAGAAGGCCGTACGCAAAGAGCAAGGGGCACTGGACGCCGCCGTAGAACAACAGACCGTGAAGATCGCCGCCTAAGATTATTGGCCTTAAGGGACCGTTTCTCCACTAACAGGTCCATTGCAAATGAATGGTTTGCAGAACACGGAAGACCTATTGGCATGCGAAGTGTTTACCGACGAATGAGAAGTTTTGGCTTGTTTTCATACCGGCCACACTGGGTCCTCCCTTTAACTCGAGGACACCGACGTAATCGCCTTGAGTGGTGCAGACAACGGTCACTCTGGGATCAGGAATGGAACAGTATTGTCTTTAGTGACGAGTCTCGATTTTGTTTAGGCATGCATGATGGTCGTGCCAGGGTTAGAAGGCGACGTGGTGAAAGGAGGAATCGACAGTTTTTTGTTGAAAGACATGTTCATCACACTGTTGAAGTTATGGTTTGGGGTGCTATAGCTTATGGTTCCAGGTGACCTTTAATCTTCATCAGAGGTAACATGAACGCGCAGCGTTATATCCACGAAGTTCTAGAACCCCATCTTTTACCCTATCTTGACATCCTGGCAGATCCAACTTTCCAACAAGATAATGCCCGACCACATGTTGCAAGAGTCACAATAGACTTCTTTCAACATAATGATGTCACATTGTTACCATGGCCACCAAGATCTCCCGACTTATCCCCAATTGAGCACGTGTGGGATATGATGGGTAGGAGATTGCTCAATTTGTAACGTCCTCCTCAGACTCTAGAAGCATTTCGAGAGGAGTTGGTGGTTGGCTGGAATGAGATACCACAGGAGGACATTGACCACCTGATCAGAAGCGTGCCTAGGCGCGTTGGAGAATGCGTAGCACATCAGGGTGCATCCACACATTATTAAAGGTCAAAGGGCTTTAAAGCAGTGCAATCATTTTGAAATTTTTATCATTTACTTATTATGCTTCATTAAGTACTTATACAAAATTTTATTAAAATAAAACCATTTAAACTGGATGTTCGGATTTATATGTCACTTAGTATATTATATCAGCCTGAAATTTCCTGCAATTCAAAAAGAAAGCATTGCCTCACATTAGCAGAGCGCTGACGCTGACATGGTACAGGAGAAATATAGGAATTCGTCAACCTTTCTGAAGGAAAGAAAAGACTACGAAAATCAAAGAGGCCATAAAAGGGTACTACAATTGTACGACGCCTTTATGGCCTCCTTGATTTCCATAGTTTTCTATTGCTCGGTGTCAGCGCTCTATTTTGAGGTTATGTTACAAATATCTAACATCAAATTGTTCATGCTTTTGATTTATCTCATCTATTATTTATGAAGGAGAGAAAATACTACGAAAATCAAGAAGGCCATAAAAGCGCCCTACTATTGTAGGAATAACTAACTAAAGGGCCCTTAGATGAGAATTTTTGTACATTGAAGCGCTCAACAATAATTATTATCCATCAAAACTATACAGGGTGTTTCAGTTTATTGTTACATAACTTTAAGATTCAATAGAACTTTTAAAATTAATGCATAAAGTCTATATAAACATGGGTCGAAAAATGCGTGGCTTCCGAAATACAGGGTGTTTAAATTTACTTTTTAAAATAGTTTTTTTTAAATATTTCGAACAATATTTGATGTATAACAATGAAAATTGGTATACAAGGGTTTTTTGGTACGACAAAACGAACCATGGGCATAGTTTTACTGTAGCCGCTAGAGGGCGCTCTCTACTGTACCTGTAGTGTATTAAAATGACCGAACATTTTTTCTTATTGCAATTTTTTGCTTTTTGATTAAAAAAACTGATTACTTCGCACTTTTCAACATAAAAAGCTCTCCTGTGAGTTTTCGTTATAGTCAGCCGTTTTTGAGATATTTCGATTTTTAAGGTTCGATGCATTTTTAATTATTTATGGGAAAATGATATTTTTTTTACATTTTCGATTTGGGCATTACAAGTAATTAAGATGATCGTTTAGATTGTGTTTTTAAACACAGCAATAATTCCTAACTCCAAGTAAACACAAAAAACAATATTAATTTGTTTAATTTTCCAATATTATTTTTAACAAATTAAATTAAGTATTTACAACTAAAATGCTATTGGATAGTTAGGACAAACATACAAAATCTAAAGTAGTTGCTCGAAATGTAAACCCAATTGTTCAATACACAATTGACATCTACGAATGATCGAGCGTGGTATAGCATTATTCAAATAAGGCCTTATTTCATCACATGCATTCCTGATTCTGTCTATTAGCATATCTCTTGTGGTTACGGGAGTCTGGTACACTTTTTCTTTTAGAAATCCCCACACAAAGAAATATAATGGATTTAGGTCAGGGGATCGTGGAGGCCAGGCGACTGGTCCTCCACGGCCGATCCATCTTTCTGGATAATTTTCGTCCAGCCAGTTTCTAACTAACTGGAACCAGGCCAATCTTCTTAAATCTAACATAACATCATCCCACATATTTGCATGTTCAGCCTTTAAAAATTCCAAGAAGGTCGCAGCATTTAACCTTGCAGGCAAAAGGTAAGGTCCAAATAGTCGATTACGGTAGATACCTATCCACACGTTCACACTAAATTCATGCTGAAAATTTCTTTCCTGAACTGCATGCGGATTTTCATGCGACCAAATATGTTGATTATGAAAATTTACCACTCCACGTCTAGTGAAGCATGACTCATCGGTCCATAAAACGTTACTTAAAAACTCCCTATTATTATCAGTTCTATCAAGAATCCACTGACAAAATGTGATTCTTTGGTCTCCGTCTCCTGGCTGTAGTCCTTGCACAGGTTGCAAATGGTAAGGACGTCTATGGTCATTTCTAAGAACACGGTGAACATGGCTTGCTGAAATTCCCAAGGCACCAGAAACTCTCCTAACACTTGTGGTCAGATCTCTATCAAACTCACGCAGAGTCATACGGGTAAATCTGCGCTGACGAACATGTTTTGATCCCTTTGGAGATTTCCAAAACCATTTTCAATTATTTGGCGATGCACTCTTACAAATACTGAGCGAGTTGGATGTCGTCTGTTTGGAAATCTTCGTGCGTATTCTCTGGCTGCTTCTGCTGCGTTTCCATTTACAAAGCCATACACAAAATGAATATCCGCTAACTCTTGAGGTAAAAGAACCTAAATTTCGTGCATTCACAATTGCAAAAAAGGTTCAGGTTTCAACAGACAACAAAACTAACTGTCAACTAATTGACGTTTAACCTTATTCTGCTTTCAATTTCAAAAATATTTGCAGGCACAGCCTACTTCTAAAAATTATCGAGATACTGACTTTTTAACGTTATTTTATCATAGATAATTAAAAATGCATCGAACCTTAAAAATCGAAATATCTCAAAAACGGCTAACTATAACGAGAATTCACAAGAGAGCTTTTTTATGTTGAAAAGACGAAGAATCAGTTTTTTTTATTCAAAAAGGAAAAAATTGCACTAAGAAAATTTTTTCGGTCATTTTAATACACTACAGGTACAGTAGAGAGCGCCCTCTAGCGGCTACAGTAAAACTATGCCCATGGATCGTTTTGTCGTACCAAAAAACCCTTGTATACCAATTTTCACTATTATACATCAAATATTGTTCAAAATATTTAAAAAAAACTATTTTAGAAAGTAAATTTAAACACCCTGTATTTCGGAAGCCACGAATTTTTCGACCCATGTTTATATAGACATTATGCATTAATTTTAAAAGTTCTATCGAATCTTAAAGTTATGCAACAATAAACTGAAACACCCTGTATATTAATGAAGAATTAATCTTTTGTGTAATAAAATATGGGCCTTTAGAATGTGTTCTTTATTTGATTTATGCGTATTTACTCTGAAATATCCACTTTATAGTGAATATTTACTTAGTATTTCGAGATTAAAAGTACTCACTTCTTTTCTTACAAATAGCAAAATGCATAATTTACGTGCCACCAAAATGTAATGCCGCAGGAGTCCTGATTATCCCTAGCACTACGCCTCTGCTGGAATAAAACAGCACCTCTCAGTAACCAGTAACCTTGCAAAAAAAAAGAAACTCCTCAAGTACCTTCTTGACCATCGAGCAACGTCCTAGCGTATATTTTTCAAAAAAAATGCGAATATAGGCTAAGGTCAATAATACGCGTTGACTCCTCGCACCCATACAAATCCAAATATGGCGATGAATGCAGCATTAATGCGAAGCCTTGAGACTGGTTCTGAATACGCAAGTATGTCCATCCATTTCTCCGAATTTCGGATTCTGCTGGATGGCGTATTTTTAACGATGACGGTGACAATGAGCGCGAAATTCTTCGTTAATATGCTTGCGATTTGGTGATAAATAATGTCACTTAAGGATATGTTGTATGGTCGGTGTTTGCATATATTAATCATAGCTTATCGTTCGAAATGAGTTTCAATTCCTGTAAATGTTGCTCATGGCCTGAGAACAACATAAATTTACATTATCTGAAACAGGTCAAGTTTAAATCAGAGCCCGTACCTCTAAAATATAAACAAGACAGATGCATTTTTGCTGTCAACAAAATTGATCATTATCGTGAATAATATGATACATGGAGGTGTCGATAACAAATCATATACGTATTTGCGTATAATCTTGAATTGGAATGATCAGTCGCTACCAAGTGACACGTAGCTCCTTCTTAAAGTGATCCATAGATGGGTTGTGGGTTGTAGAAATTAAGAAACAGGGCTTCGAAATTCCTGGGAAAAAGATAAGCAAAAAAATCCTCCTTTAGCAAGCGTAGCTGTCCGCCTTCAAAACGTTAGTAGGTTAGCAGTTCTATTGCTTGTATCATGATTATTTTACATTCCGCAGTCATGCACTCATATACAGGGTGGCCCATCCATGTGTGGACGGAATATTACTCATAAACAATTACATTTTGGGAAAATCTATTTATGGGATGTTATGCATGACATTTGAGGGCACATTTCTAAAACATTGGCAATTATACAGGTCCCAGTTTTGACCTATATATGAAAGTTGTGATTTTTTTAATGGAATGCCTCAAATTCTATTGCATATTTGGATAAACCAATTCAAAAGAAGAAGATCGATATAACATACTATGGGGTTTTCGTAATTAGCTACTGATATGTAAGGTGTTTTGCCCAGAAAAATCGTCCACTTCGGCAAGCCCTCAATCCGCCATTTTGAAATTTAGAGTACTGAATTTTGTATCAAAAAAAACTTACACACCTTAGCTTTTATCTTTTTTGTTACTTTTTTAAATGTTCATTTTTGGTCAATTGTACTTTTTCTAAAAAATTTCAAATGCATCACCCTGTATATTTGTGCAAGTTTGGATTCAGTTTTTTATAAGCTTTTTTTGGTATAAGGTTTGATTCAGATAAAATCACTAGATTTTGAGTTATTAAGCTTGTAATAGAGCAACACACCAAAATTAAGGAAAAAAAGCTCATCATAAAAACTAATAACAATCAGAACAGTATAAATCAGCTTCAAGCGTAATAGAGAAAAACTGCTCGAAAATATCTCCACCATGTTGAATACACAACCGTAGTTTTTGGATAAATGATCGTTGCATATCCCTCAGCATGTGTTCTCTTATGCTCAGAAAAGCATCCTTAATCATTTCCTTCATATTTTCCGGGGTAGATGGTGAATATCTATAAACATCTTGCTCAACGTAGCCCCACAGAAAGAAGTCCACCGGTGTCATATCTGGTGATCTAGGAGGCCAAGATATAGGCCCATTATGACCGATCCAACGATTGTTACTCCAGGTGTCCAAATAGTTACGCACACGATTATGATAATGACCAGGTGCGCCGTCATGTTGGAAGTACATATGCAACCGAGTTTGCAGGTTGACATCCGCCAAAAGCAAAAGCAAATGCTCGATCAAAAAATTCAAGTATTCGTATATTTATTGGAAATCTATTTGCCTAACCTAGTAAGGGTTTTCTGTCGCATAATAGTGCATGTTATGCATGTTGACAACACCTATGCTGTTAAAAGTTGCCTTATCGCTAAGAAGAACCTTATCCAGGAAAGTAGTGTCTTCACTCACTTTATTTAGCATTATTCTACTAAACTCCATTCAAGCTGCGAAATCCTGAGGACGAAGGTCCTGACGCAAGGTGATATGCATGATACCTATGCTTGTGAATAATCCTTTGGACAGAAGTTCTGCATATATCTGCTCCAATTTGCACTTAAATGGAGATTTTCCTGCAACTTTAATAGAACCTCCAACTGTTTCGGCTCATCGGTGACACTTGGATTGTTTATACATTTTTTACTATATTCCACTGCTCCACTTTCCGGCCTTGGATGTCGCATATTAGGGAACCGTTGCTTATAAATGCGAGATTCTAGGAAACTATTTCTTTGTGCTTCGCCCAAAACGAACACCATATTCACCATTTCTTATTTAGAAAAATTCATTTTCAAACACGTTTTTATTGTAATGCTCTCAAAGCTAATTTTGACAGTTTGTAACTAATCAACAATTTATTTGTTTCCAAGGATGATGCGATGTTTTAGGGTTAGTTTTTCCATTGGCTAGTAGACCGTGTCTACGACAACGCCACAATCGGCGTCATCTAGCGGCCACTGTAGTGACCCGGCTGGCAATGCGAACTGACCTACAGTACCAACAGATAGTTTGCTGTTTTCAGTTTCGTGGTGGTTGATTCTGGTAATAGATGCACCTTATTCCGATATATTTTCAGCTGTATAGGCGATTTTACAAAAAACATCCATAATTATGAGTATATGGTTTTAGCAAAAATTTTTGATCAGTTGGTACATGAAAAGCTTTCCTGTTATTTATCAAGATTTATTATTACAAATCAACATGGCCTCATGAAGAATAAATCAACTATTACTCATTTAAGTTTATATACAGAAGATTTAGTTGATGCAATGAGCAATGGATTAGCGACTGATGCTATTTATACAGACTTTTCTAGTGCCTTTGATGTAGTTAACGTTTCTTTGCTTCTAAATAAGCTTGAGGCTTACGGTATCAATGGTGCATTGTGGAAATGGTTAGAGTCTTATTTGACTGATAGAAAACAGTATTTCAAAATCGATAATCATATATCATATGTCATTGACGTAACATCAGGAGTTGGTCAAGGTTCTCACTTGGGACCATTGCTATTTCTTGTTTTTATAAATGATATCAAATCTTGCATACGTCATTGTAAATTTTTGTTATTTGCTGATGACTTAAAATTATATAAAGTAATTAGATCTATTTATGATAGATACTTAGTGCAAATTGATATAAATTCGTTACTTATTTGGAGTATATTAAACGGCATACCTTTTAACATCAAAAAGTGTTATTTTATTACTTTTGGTAAATGTAACTTACAAGATGTTGATTATAACTTTGACAACGTTGGGTTAGAAAAGTTAGACTCTATAAAAGATCTTGGTATCATTTTTGATTCTAAATTATCGTTTAATTATCATATTGAACACATTAGAAATTCGGCAAAAAAAATTAATTTTTAAATAGATTTACAAGAGATTTTAAAAGTATTAGCACCTTCAGAACTGTGTACTATTCTTTTGTATATCCAATTCTAAGCCATGGTTTCGTAGTTTGGAATCCTTATCTTAAATATCAAGATTCTCTTGAAAGAGCCAATCATGTCTTTTTAAGATATGTTGCATACAGAACTGGTATGCCAAGGAATTTTACCGATTACAACTACACAAATATTTCAAACAAAATTATGATTCCAACACTTGAAAGTGCTAGGAACAGGATTGATGTTTTATTTGCTTATAATTTATTTAATAACATTATTGATAATTTCAGTTTATTGTCAAAATTCAGATTTTATGTGCCACCAAGAATGTTAAGACGTAATAATGTTTATTTTCATGTTATGCCACCTAAATCAGATCTGATAAATCATTCTCCTGTTTTTAGATTATCTAAACTATGTAATGAACACAGTAGTTGGCTTGATTTGTATAATTCGAGTAATTATATTGTTAGAAATTTATCAAAGTCTATGTTTACATTTGAGTAGTCTTTTGATTTTGTACAATTTGAATTTATGATTACTAGATTACTGCATTTCCTCATTTGAACATCTATATTAAATTTCGCAGATGATTATGTTAAACTCAGTTGATTGCCTTATATACTATTATATGTTACTGTTACCACATATGTAGCGCCACTTACGCGACGTTTGCGGTGCATTTTTCTATTTATAATACACATGTATAATGTGTTCGCCCGTAAGTTGAATAAATAAATAAATAAATAAATATGTCGAAGATATTGAAAATACAGACATAATTTTCAATGACCGCGTATCCAAAATGTATTTTGAAGGATTATTTAAAAAATCACTCGGTCAATTTAGATTGATGTGATTACGCTAATGTCCACCAATTCACTGTTTGCAGAAACGAGGGTACAATGATACAAGTAAACATATCCTTGTTTGTTGCAGGAATATTAGAAAAATAGATCTACGAAAATGGAACGAAACGAATACAAAGAGGTGAAAATTATGCGGTCTGGTTCACCCATTCGAAATACGTACAGCTCGAATCAGAATTTAGCACAGTTCGATAGTAACCTAGGTAAGTTTGAACCTGGGTTTTGAAGAGATTTAAATTGGATTTAGAAAACAACAACGCAACAAAAGACGGAAATCACAGTCAAATTCCTTGTTTTAGATTATTTGCTAGAAGATCTCCAGAACTCAGTATCCCGCCCTGGCAGCTCACTTGGCCATCATACGAATTCTTTAAACAGACTAACAAAATCTGCGAACCCCCTTACGGAATACTCGTCAGACGATGCGTACACATACAAGGTAAGTCATTAGAAAATTATAATACTGAAGCTGAATTTGAAGTATGTTCTCATTCCTTGTATCTTTTTGACTAAATTGCGACATTAAAATATACTCAAATCTCATTTACTCCTCGTCAAAACAAGGATGAAAATTCTATCGTCGTATTGTTCACTTGTCGCTGCCTGTTGAGGCATTTATGTGACACGC